TCAGCAGGACACTCAAGTGTACAGCATCAGGACACAGCCAAAGGGACAACGGGGAATTTAATCCTACAGTTCAATTTGTAATAATTATTTGCAAAAGCACAGTTTTTGCTGATTTAACAGTGTCTAAACCATACTGCACCCTTGATAACATTTGTATAGATACACACACAGATGAAAGCTTAAAAACCAAGATCCTCCACACTCTACATGAGAAGATCCTTCTCAGGAGAGGTTTGCACAATCTGAGGCTCTGAGCAGCAGGACACTAGTAGGAGTTAACACTAACAGTGTAGGAGATCCGTCTGGATGCTTTAAGATGTAAAACATTAGATGCAACTCAAGACACTTAAAAACTACCTGCTGCAGAGGGGAGGGACCGTATCAGACCCTTACTCTGACACTCCTTAACTACTTGTTGAAGCCACTTATAAAGTCTAGAGCAACCAGAAATGTGTCTTCACCTTATTTACTTCTTCCACTGCCAGGCCACAGCTGCAAGACTCCACTTACGAGAACTTTGACCGCAGACACGGCAGCGGCCAGACTTTGCCGACAGAAAGAACAGCATCGAGACGCAGCTGAGGACCTGGGCGGTCTCATCCGCACCCGCTTGCACGGTTCGAATTGCTGTCTGCTCCTGTACCAGGGTGTCTTTTCCCAGTGAACATAATACTGATGTTGACTGATGCACAGAAGGTCAAACAGGCCTTGTAAGTGCATGTTTTCCATCCCTGTTGCTGCTTACAAGCAAGAGGAAAGAAGGGGAGACAGAAGAAAGAAAAAACAAAGAGGGAGGGAGCTGGAAGAGCAGAAGAGGATTTAACCAACCTGCGTGTTTTTAGCCCGTATCACATAGTGTTTAGCAAGCAGATAACAGTTTACCATTTTGTCACATCTTTTTGCTATGGCATTTTGCAAGTGTTACTTCAAAAAGCAGTTTTCATCGCTCCACTTGTCAAACCACATGCAGCTTCCTCGAGCCAGCAAGTGAAGTATTTTTATGTTTCCAATACCAGCTGTGAAAAAATGCTACTGGAATTTCTGCAGGGGTTTTTGTTATTATTATTATTAATATTATTATTATT